TAGTTTGGCTGTATAATAGATCATTGATTGATCTACTCTCTTTTTTCAATTTTCACCACTTCTGTTTGTTATATATGCAGCTTCACATATTCCAAGTCTTCATTCCTGAAATTTCATGTATTTTTTACCTGTGTGTGTGATAGATCAAAAGTGCACCTTCCTACCTGTCAATATAAGTCCCTATAAAATGTGTATACAAAACCGTGACATGCCTGCTTCACAGGGACATTCACATTGCCACAGCTCATCATTTTCCTTTGGAATTATCTGAATCTCATGTGGAGGCTGCCAAACAGGCATTTCATAACATTTGTTTGTTCTATATCCACTCTTGACTCCACAGTCCACACAATAATATTATGATATTTATGATGTGACCAGCCTTGAATAATACTACACCATATTATTATACAACCTCTCACACTCTTTCAAAGATATCTTCAGTCTTCTTGTCACCCTGTTTTCAACTAAAGTCTAAAATTCGCGATTCTTTCGAATTCAAATTCAAAAATGTTTTCAATTCATTTGACAGTGACACAAACGAAATCAACAATCACGTGGTGGGGAAACACTGACGTCACGCCCCTCCGCGCACCCCCGCACCATAATGCTATTGGCAAGGTGATCGACCGTTGGGGGCGCTGTTTCAAAACAAGATGGCGGCAAAGAGTGTGTAGTTTGTTTACAAAATTTCTTGAGATTTGCATACATTTTCTTCTTGATATTTATTTCATCGTGTTATTCGTGTTTATTGTTGAACTTTTTACTGAAATCATAATATTTTTTGTTGGATCATACTGTTTCATCGTGATGTGAGGAAAATAACTGTTACCTACTGACTGAATCATGGACCAAATAGTCTGAGCTTTCTTCAAACCAGTGCATTTCTGTGGGCTGTGGGACAGCTTTATGGGATATAAAAAATCACAAGCATATTCACTATCATCAGAAGCTGATATATTCACCATAATACCTCTATAACTTAACTCTTCAAGCAAAAGGATCCTACCCTACAGAACACAAATGGTGATACCAGGAGTGAAGTTTTTCAACAGTGAACAGCCTTCTGTGAACATATTGAAAACCATCCCTAAAATGTGTTAACCTATTCGACTATTTTGTGCTAAATATTATAGCCATCAGAATCATGTGCAATTGATCCATACAATAGAAATCAGCAGCAACCAGCTCTAATGAGTCTAAACCAAGAAATAATCCAACACCAAAGGCATCCTGACATTACTGTGGATTTAATAGTAGATACAACTATCAATGGCCAATCTTCAACAATATTACTTCCAGGCTTTGAGGATTGTTTACAGTGCAACTCCCATACTTCATATATTATGGTGCTTCACTGTAATCTGCAATAACAGCAAATTGTCATGATCCTATGTGCCATGTGTGCGAATTGTATCCATATAACACACTTTTCATAATGTGAATATTCCTAATATACTTAGAGTTGAGGTAGGTGGCATCCTAGACTGAGTTTTCTTCTTGGAATTCATTCAATATCTTGTAAAGCTAGTTTTTTTTTACCATAATGATGAAATCATTGAATAATTTGGAATTCCACCACATAAAACATTGATCAAATGACCTAGGATTTCAGTTAATGTATTTACACAGTATATTATCATCATTTTGTAATCCTAAATTCATCTAATTGAAAATATCACTTAATATGTATACTTCATTATGTTTTGTATATTTTGGAACTGAATTAATAATAATTTTCAAAAATGAAAGTACATTGACATAGCATGTGTTTTACTGTACTTATGCCACTCCAAAGAAGTCAAGAAAGAAGTACCTACAAATAGAAGGATCTACCTGTACACTCCTTCCCTCAGTGCTCATGTAGGTATACTGTTTTTCCCTGAATTATTTTACAAGATACCTTTACAAAAATTTACAATTATAAATGAATTAGAAATCCAGGAATTTCATATATGTAGAAATAAATTAACAATGAGCAAAAGTAAGTATCTACCTGGTATATTTTATAAATTATAAAGTGAAACTTTGAAATTGCATCAAAAAAGAATGAGGTGTTGATTGAGGTAGTTGTGGAATTGAAATATGAATTTTGAAAATCTACAATAAAACATTACAAAACAGAAAAAAAAGTAGAACTTTTACTTATGAATAAATACAGTTTAATAATAACATACAAGCAGTAAAATTATGAATACATTTTTCCAAGATACAATATGAAATGTCATGGATAGGTTCAAGTACCCAAATAATCAGTGATATCTCCTCAAAAACTTGAATTCAACTTCATGGTATCTGGGTTTTGGTTTCAATTTGTGTAACTATTTGCACTCAATTGCAATATACCCTGGATGGCAACTCCTCCCCTGCTGGAAAATTGAAGAAATGTTAGTACCTACTATGAACAAACCACGAGACAAACCATATCTATTAGCTATAACACAATCTAAATATTCAAATAGATATAGATTGTGTCACTTTAATGTATGTTCAAAGATTCAATTCAAGCTATGAAGTAAGCTACCTACAATGACCTGCTTGTACCAGGGTTATTATATATCTATAAAATATGCTACTGTTTTTGCTCATATGAATGTAATTGGGAGCTGTATTTCAACCTCGATTTCAACTTAATCATTTTGGAAGTACATGCAATCTGCATTGGCTATTTTACTACATAGATGATACTACAAAATAGGAATCTATAGCATTCTATAGAGGCCTAGGCAGGATGTCATGAACAAGATTTTCATATGAGTCAAGCATTACAAATAAAACTATAAATTACCCACCTGCACATATTCATAATGTCTTTTTTCTTGCCCAGCTTTGTGTATTGCAGTTCAAAAGTCAGGCATTGAATTTGCTTCTTCATTTTCATTATCAGAATATTTGGAAGAGAAACAACCATACTCATTTTTCCAAGTCCTAGTTTCTGGAGACATTTTCCCATGAACAGAATATGAACCATTGATCATTTCAATCATGTTCTCTCTCAGATAGGCACTGCAAATAAGAGTTATTCATCAGTAATAAATAAATCAATGAATCACAAATTTACCTTATTGTTACCATTATTGGACCAATGAAGTGAAGAAAGGTAGGAAGTTTTTGTTGGAGCTGCATACATTCACTTTTCAAACTCATATTGGATTCTCAACGTTTGTCCATTTTTTCCATTCAACTGAACTGATTTTTCATTATCAGAAAAGACTTCTTGAGTGCAGGAAATTCATATTAGAGGAAATTATAGGTCCTACATTTTTCCATTGGAACCTTTTACTAGTTCAACCAGCAACCAAACTAAACACAGTTGATTTTGCGCATGCGTATCATCAGATTTGTTGATACTAATTTATAAAATAATATAGAATTGATTAGGCAATTGATATAAAGTTCATGTCTTGTACTCAAGAGAAGCAAGAAGAGAAAATAAACGGAATTTGTTGAATGGTTTTCATAAAATATGAAACTCACTGAGAAGTGAGAACACAATAACAAACATGACCTTGAATTACGTCCTAAACTGGTTCAAATTTGCCCACCAGGTGCCGTATCGGAATCGTCACCTTGCCAATAGGTCGCGTGCACGAAGACCGACCCTGGAGGCAAAATATTGAAACACAACCTCATTCTTCTGTGAATTATTGAAACACAACCTCACTCTTCTGTGAATTATTGGAACACAACCTCACTTTTTCATTTGTTCACAGAGGAATCCAAAGGTTGAAATAGTTTTTCACAATATTTTGGCATACGAATCGTGTTTCTTGCGTTATTCATTAATTCAAGCATGCCTTCGCATTGTGCTGTTGTACAATGCACAAAAAATGCAGCAAGAGACTAGGGAATATGATTTTTCAGGTAAATAGTAATCTCACATAGTTAGCATTATGAAATGTTGTCATTCCTTATTAAAATTCCTTCTGCCTTCTGCCACTTCTGCAATACAAGCTAATGCTGCTAATAGATTGAAAATGTCTACAACACACACGATCGTCAGCATGTCAGACCAGTCCTACCGATTGATTGCATGAATCCAATCTTCTTGCATTATTCTAGAAATTTTAGGTATATTTCTATTAGCTGATCCTATTGCAGAAGGAATTCCGATGAGAAATCAGAGAAATAACCAAATTTCAAAAATGAAAACTATGTGAGTGACTATAGTAGGTACTTACTTTTGAATCATAATGTACCATCCGGATTTTTTCATCTTCCGCTGCAGTTTTTGTGCATTTTACAACAGCACAATGTGATGGCTTTAGCGAATTGATGAATAGTGAAAAAATACGATTCATATGCCAAAATAATTGTGGAAAACTATTTCGATCACTTGTAAACAAATATGTTTTGCCTCCAGGGTCGGTCATCTGACAGTTCTTGCACGCGACCTATACTATGAGTGTGTTTTGTCAAAACTGAGATGTCAAAAGTGTCAAAACTGAAACAAATAAATTTGCATCAGTGTTGCCATGCCAGCGCTAAAATGTTCGTATCGAATCTAGTACAGTACTATTGAATTCAACGTCACCAATCAGGTTGCATTATGCGCGACGCGTGAAGCAAAAACGCTGCATTGGGAACTCACCTTCAAGCTACTGTCGCACCGACCGACCATCGAGCCTGAAAATAATGTTATCAGCTGATCTGTTCGTGTCTGTTGCTGAACTTGCTAATGTTGATTCTGTTCCCATAGTATTGTCTCTTTTCATGGCATAATGTAAACAGAGAAAGTCATTGAAAAAGTCAAGTTTAGCAGGTAGAGCAAACACAAACGAACAGGCGTACCGTATTCTCTGATAGGGTTTCAAATACATTTTTAATGGTCAAGATTTCAATTTGGGGAGTATAATATATGGAATGTCCACTGCGCTAAATATCAATTCCTCATAGAATTGGTAGTTGAGTACGATTTTGAACATATCTTTTTCAATGCTTGACACAACTAATCATTATAATATTGATTATAATAAACAATATAATCATCATATCTATAGAAAGTGGACAAAACAAAACAGCTTCTCGTCATCCCAGATCCAGGCCAGAGGCCAGATAATCTAGTACGTTGTTAATTCGTGGCTATGATTTGTTGGCTGGCAAGTGGCAACGGCAAACGGCAACACTGCTTCGCAATTTTCGCATTGGTTTTGGTCGAGTCGGCGCGTTGCCCGATCTCGGATCTCGTCATTTTCGTCGCATAACGTAACAACATGGCGGATTCAGTGAGGGAGCACAAATTGAAGTTGGCCAATTCTAGAAAGCGGGTAAGCAATTTATAAGTACATTATATAAATTTTAACATATGGAAAAATGTTTTATGTGAGATACTTTTAAAGAATATTCTATGGATGATTCTCGTATGGCTTTATGGAAGGCCCTTGACCGGTAACATTTCTACATTTCGTGTCGTGCCACATCACCAAACCAAGCGTCATCGGTGAGCGTCACTAAAAAAAACTTGGATTTTTCGTTCATCAGATCAGTTCATCTCTATTTCAATTCTTCAAGTTTGAATTCATAGGTATGCGGCTCCTATCGATCAATTTAGTACACCTAATTTGTTTTATTTATATGCTTATCTAGAATCATTGCCAGATTGCTGTTTATTTAAATGCCATCCCTTTACATGGTGCCGGTCAAATATTGGGTCATGGTGTTTCATATTTTAATCAGGAAAATTTGATAGGCGATAGTACTTGCAAAAATAAAATGTTGAGTTCATATTCTAATCTTCATGTGTTTTTATTCATGCAACATTTATTATAACCATGGGCGAATTTAGCCCTAGTATTGAATATTCATTCTCAACCAAACTATCCATTTCCTAGGATTCAACTGAAATGGGTCATGTATAAGGAAGGGAAAAATTGTTGGGTTTAACTCAGTGAAACAGGCAGTTTTACAATTAAACTTTAATGACTGAACAAGACGTTTTTATATAATAATCAGAAACTGTCAACAAAAACAAACTTGATGTTCATATATAGTATGTTGAATAATCTGGCGAATATCTCCAACACCCCCACTCGACAGATCATTCCTCCACAATTCCTATTGAAGTTCTGAACTTCACAAACTTGTCCTTTGGTAAGCATTTCGTTAGGCCATCAGCTATCATATCTTGTGTTTGGCAATAAATGAAATCAATTACATAATTTCTGATCAAATCACGTAAATGATGGTACTTTACATCTATATGCTTAGTTCTAGCACTGATCTTTTCATTTGTGGCCAGTTTGATACAACCTTGGTTATCTTCATACAAACAAGTTGGTTTATCACACTTGATTCCATATTCGTCAAGAATTCTCCGGGTCCAAACTACATCTTGACAAGCTAAAGAAGCAGATATATATTCTGCTTCTGTCGATGATAAGGCTACAGAAGTTTGTTTTCTGCTGGTCCACGATATTGCATTTTCTCCTAGAAATAATATGAACCCGCTTGTTGACTTTCGATCTGAAATATCACCAGCCCAATCCGAGTCTACGAATCCGTTTAAGATCAGCTCCTTATCTGATTTTAGCTTCAGCTTGAATCTGCTGGTACCCTTCAAATATTTTATCAGTTTCTTAACAGCATCCCAATCTATTTGTCTTGGCTGACTTACTTTTCTTGTCAAATAGTTGACAGCAGTAGCTATATCTGGCCTTGTCGTGGTAGATAAGTACAGTAAAGCCCCCACTGATTTTCTATATTTGTCATTATTTGGTAGCAGCTTATGATTCTCAGTGAGTTTTGGATATTCAGTATCCATTGGAATTAATGAAGGTGCTGCACAGTCTAATCCAAATTCTGAAATGAGATCGATAATTTTCTTCTCCTGATCCAGAAGAAAACTTCCTTCTTGATTCTGTTGAATTCTGATTCCTAAGAAGTAGGTTACATCGCCTAAATCTTCAATCTCGAAATGTTTGTTCAGCTCACTCCCAAACATCTTGATTGCCATTTCATTTTTGTGACAGATAAGTAAGTCATCAACATAAATTAGTAGATACATTGGATCTTCATCTCTTCTGCTGATGAACAAACATTGGTCATTTTCGCTTTGATGAAACCCATGTTCTTCAACAACCTTTTTCAGAACTTCATTCCAAGCTCTTGCAGCCTGTTTTAAACCATAAACAGATTTATGGAGTTTGTATACAAGATGAGACTTATTTTCTTCGACATATCCATCTGGTTGGCACATATAGATTTCTTCATTCAGAATCCCATTCAAAAAGGCAGTTTTAACATCATAATGTCTAACATAGAGCTTGTTAACAGCTGCAATTGTCAATGAAATCCGAAAGGTACTTTGCTTCATTACTGGTGCAAAAGTGGCATCATAATCTTCTCCATATTTCTGAGTATAGCCTTTAGCAACTAGTCTTGCTTTATATTTAGCAATGCTGCCATCAGAATTGGTTTTTAACTTGAAAACCCATTTCGAATCGATAGGTTTCTTTCCTGTAGGAAGATTTGTTAGTGTCCAGACCTGTTTCTGCTTGAATGATTCTAATTCATCATCAGCAGCTTTCAACCATTTTTGTTTCTCATTTTCCGGAAATTTAATCATATCACTCCATGATTCAGGTTCTCTATGAAATTCAGTAGAAGTTACATATGAAAACTTTTCTGGTGGCACTCCTTTGTTCTTTCTTGATGATCTTCTGACTGTCTCATCCTCTTCTAGTATTTCATGTATATGGTCATCTTCAATTTCATATTCTTCCTTTTGTTGGTCTTCTGTCCTTGTCTCTTCCAATCTCATATCTCCACCTAGTTCATCAATTCTATGATCTGTTTTAATTCTTCCAAGTACAATCTCTGTATTCTTATGTATGTTCGTATTGCTCTCATCAGACTGTTTAGTCCTATAATTCGTAGAATGTCCATTTTCGATGAATTCAACAGTTCTACTTATTACAACTTTATTTGTGGATCTATCCAAAATTCTGTATCCACTTGAGTTTTCAGAGTATCCCACCAAAATTCCTTCTTTGGCCCGGGAATCCCATTTAGTACGTTTTTCTTTTGGAACATAGGCATAAGCAGTACTTCCAAAACTTCTCAAATGATCAATTTTAGGCTTGGCTCCATGCCATACTTCATAAGGAGTTGTTTTAATAGATTTACAAGGAAGACGGTTTTGTAAATAATTGGCTGTAACAATCGCTTCTCCCCAGTAAGTATTTGGTAATTGAGCGTCAAGCAACATACATCTTGCTGATTCACAGAGGGTTCTATTTTTGCGTTCAGCAATACCATTCTGCTGCGGTGAGTACGGGACTGTCGTTTGGTATGCTATTCCATATTTCCGTAAAATATCCTGAACAATTTTATTACAAAATTCGCCGCCATTGTCAAATCTGATCGACTTGGGCTTTCTTTCAAATTTATTTTTCACAAATACTATAAAATCTTCCAGTTTTTCTGTTAAATTCATCCATCAGTTTTCCTTTGACATATTCAAGAGTCAATTCATTATCAGGACGAGCATCCAAGGCCGTTACAAGTGTATCATAGTTCTTGGGAAGACCTCCAAGAAGTAGTGCAGCAACATGAAAATCTTTAATATTTTCACCTATTCCCCTCAGTAGTTCTACCATTTCGAGAGTTTGTCTTATATATTCGGACATTGTTTGTCCACTTTCTAATCTGGCCTGATAAAGCTTACGAAGTAAATACAACTTATTACTGAGATTTGCCCGTTCATGAACCTTTTGTAGAACTTCCCACATCTCCTTTGCTGACTGGCAGTTACAAATATGAATGATCTGGTCATTTTCTACACAAAGTGAGATGGTACTTTGCGCTCTTTCATCTAATTCTGCATAAATGTTACTTTCAACTTCTTCTTTCTGGACTTCTCCTTGAATTATCTTCCAACTGCCTTCTCTTATGAGAAGCATCTTCATTTTAAACTTCCAAGGCTGGTAATTATTATTATTCAGCTTAGCAAACCCAAACCTTGTATTTTCCATATTTTCCATTCTTTCCGCCTTGATCTTGCTTAAACACTCAATTTGAGCTCTACCTGATTCATGCGTTAACTGGGCCCATAACCTGTTGGGTTTAACTCAGTGAAACAGGCAGTTTTACAATTAAACTTTAATGACTGAACAAGACGTTTTTATATAATAATCAGAAACTGTCAACAAAAACAAACTTGATGTTCATATATAGTATGTTGAATAATCTGGCGAATATCTCCAACAAAAATGAATATACAGGATGATCCACGTTAGAGTAATGGGTAAAACTGCATTTAGCATGCGATGGGTTTTTTTTCGAAAAAATTTTTTGGTACTTTATTTTTGTCTGAGAAACACGAATTTGATTATGAAAATGTGAACAAACCATTATTTATTAAGATATTTCACTACAAAGTTACAAATTTCACCTTCTTTTCCGCCTGTCTTCTGGATTGAATTTAAAACAATTTAATATTATTGAGTCAACTAGAAATATGATTTTTTTTGTGACTAATTGCGTGTGTAATGGCATTCAGAAGCACTCTGTTGTCATTTGACATCTCCTATTTGGATTGACGATTAATTAAATGGCCGTCATCTGGTATGCTTGTTCACTAAATATGAAAAACTTGCCATAAAAATCATATTTCCTGTCGAATTTTCTGTATAAAAATGTGTCATTAAAGTACATCATGAGTATATAAAGTGTCCAAAATAAGAAGAGCAAGTACCTATCTGTAAATGCATCCAACACAAAAGGAAGAAGGAGTTGAAATTTCGAACTTTTCTTCGAAATATCTCGGTAAATAGTGGTTTGTTCACATTAACATTGGCAAATTCGTGTTTTTCAGACAAAAATACGTAAGTACCAAAAAATTTTTTTGAAAAAAACCAATCGCATGCTAAATGCACTTTTACCGGCTGGATTCAAAACTAGATAATATCACACATAGGGCTTGTAAACAGTGCGTCAGTCGAATTCAGCACTCAAAGTTGTGGATACATTTGTAATAATAAATTAATGGAATAATTTCTCCCACGGTATATTCATTCTATAGGTATCAATTGAATTCGGAGGAATGTCTAAATGAAAATGATATTCAACTGCATCGTGCGTCCTTTCCAAAAATCATTCCTTTTCATTTTTACGAATTTTTCCTCTACTGTAGGATAGCACTGGATTCAACGGATCCTTTGTGTGAATTTTTTTTGGATCCAGCTTTCCATGAAGATTCCAAAAATAGAACGATAGGTATATAGGGTGTTCCTTGAATGTCGCGGACGTCATTACTCAAACGTGGATC